TTCAGCAGTTGGGTTTTTTTCTTTTTACAACCAAAAAAACCTCTCTCATGATTTGTTGTCAATTCTGTCACATGCATTGGGCTTGAGGGTTGCTTTTCCTTCCACAATTAATTATTTTTGACTGATTTTTCTTTTTGAGATTCATTTACTCTACATATTATAATTGTAGCAGCTAGGAAGGCTAGCATCAAACTTTAGGCTTCATGCATACTCATGATATCAGATGCCCAACCTTTAGAATTTCTGGAGTCTAAGAAGTAACTGAAATGTGTTTGATCCACATGAACTTTTCTGGTTCAACTGTTAAAGATTTGGAAAGCCTTTTACGCCAACTGAAACACTCTTCAGAGCTAATTGATGTGGTTTGATACTGAATATCTGGCTCCATTGGTACTGAAAGACTACACAGGCAGTAAACTAAGAAGATAATTGGAGTTAGGTTATTCTAAGAAATTGGCTTAAATTGGCAATTAGATACTTCACCATCACTCTGAGGGAATTAGGTATTTGAGACCCAAGAACAGTCAATAATAGTCCAGTGTTCTTTGCTTGTCTCTGAAAATCTTATCCTGAAAGTTTAAAAACTGACTTTAAGGCATAATAGAATCATAGAAAACTAGGATTTGGTGGGACCTCAAGAGGTCATCTAGTCTATCCCCCTGCTCAAATCAGGACTCTCCCCAACTAGATTATCCCAGCCACGGCTTTGTCTAGCCAGGTCTTAAAAACCTTCAAGGATGGAGATTCCACAACCTCCTTGGGTAATCTGTTCTAGTGCTTTACTACCCTCCCAGTGAGGGTATCTAACCTAGTGAAGCTATCTAACCTAACCTTTCCTTGCTGCCACTTGAGACCATTGTTCCTTGTTCTGTCATTTGCTACCATCACAGTACTCCAGATGTGGCTTCACCTGTGCCAAATAGAGGGGAATAATCACTTCCCTCAAATAGGCAACACTCCTATTAATGCAGCTCAGCATGCTGTTAGCCTTCTTCACAACAAGGGCACACTGTTGAATCATATTCAGTTTATTGTCCACTATAACCCCCAGATCCTTTTCTGTGGAGCTGCTGCTAAATCAGTTGGTCTCCAGCCTATGCTGATGCCTAGAACTGTTCCATCCTAAGTGCAGGACTTAGCACTTCTACTTATTGAACTTCATGGGATTTCTTTTCATCCAGTCCTCCAACTTGTTGAGGTGTCTCTGACTCCTAGCCCTACCCTCCAGTGTATCTACTACTCCCCCCAGCTTGGTGTCATCTGCAAAGTTGCTGAGGGTGTGCTCCATCCCATCCTCCAGATTGTTGATAAAGATATTGAACAAAACTGGACATTGCCAGCACCACCATCCATTGCTTCCTTTTAGTGGCAGAGACATCAATCCTCCTAACCTTGGGGGTACCTAGCCTGGCCTCTTCCACCAATGGAACATGCTCCTGTTCCTTTCTTCCTCTTTCTCCTCCTCCTCTGCTGCTTAGGCTCTATATCTGTTCTTCAGGGAAACTGCTGCAGGTGGAGATAGAGCCATAGAACTGAAAGGGACCTGTAGGATCATCAAATCCAGTTCCCTGCTGTGGGCAGGAAGTTATTAGGCTCAGACAAGCTAAACAAGGTGCCAGTCCAGCCTCATCTTGAACACCTATAAGGAGGGTGACTGCACCACCTCTGCTGGGAGTTTGTTCCAGATTCTGGTGACCCTTACAGAGAAAAAGTTTTTTCTTGTGTCTAGTCTGAATTTACCCTCTATTAGTTTATGCCCATTGGTCCTTGTCCTCCCTTGAGGTGCCTTCCTGAAGAGTTGCTCCCCTAGTTCTTGATGCTCACCCCTGACATACTTGTAGGCAGCTATCAAGTCATCTCTCAGCCTTCTCTTACTCAGACTGAACAGGCCCATTCCTGGAGTCTCTCCTCCATGCCCTTAACCACATGGGTGGCACATCATTGTACCAGCCTGAGCTACCCTCTTGAGCTTGTCCACATCTTTCTTGAAGTGTGGTGCCCAGAACTTGACACAGTACTCCAGCTGAGGCCTAACCAGCACTGAATAGAGAGGGAGGAGCACCTCTCTGGATCTATTGCCCAGACATCAGCTGATGAATGCCAGAGTTCTGTTTGCCCTTCTGACAACCTTATTGCACTGTTAGCTCATTTTCATCTTCCAGTCAATTGTGACCCCCAGGTCACATTCAGATGCTGTGCCAGCCACTGGACTACATGTAGTTAATGGTGAGGGTTCTTCCTACCTAGGCAGGAAGGACTTGCAATTCTCCTTTTTAAATCTCATCTGATTTTGTTCTGCCCATGAATCCAGTCTGTCCAGGTCATCCTGAATCATTGCCCTCTCCTCTGGTGTGCCCGTGTTTCCCCACAGCCTAGTGTTGTCCGCAAGCTTAAATATTGAGCTTTCCACCTCCTCATCCAAGTCATTAACAAATATATTAAAGAGCATGGGTCCAAGGACCAATCCCTGGGGGGCACCACTGGAGATGTGCCTCCAAGATGAGGCCATCCCATCGATTACAACTCTCTGGGACCAGCCTCTAAGCCAGTTTTCCACTCACCTCCCTGTAGA